TAAATTCTCATTATATTCAAATCAGTAAGTTAGCCTGCTTATCGTATTTATTTAGGGGTTGTTTAGTTTGCTGAAAAAGTAGTGCAGAAAAATGGATGTAATAAACAAGTAATGCATTGTATTTGAAATAGTATAGAGTTGTTCAATTCACTTTAAAATAAATATAACATTTTATATTTTTTTTTGTTTGATTTGAATTAGAATAAAAATAATATATTTCAAAATCTATAAGGCATTAATGGCGGAGGCGGGTGACATTCGGCAGCTGCAACCAACATTTAAAATCGTGATCGGAGGCAGTGGGTGGCAACATGGTGGTTGGATGAATGGTGACGGATTGCTGTTGCGAACGACAAAAGTGGTGGCTAGAGACTGAAACCGACTATGGCAGTGACTAACACTTAACGGTGGTGGTGACTGGGAGATGCATAAGGTTAAAGACAGCGATGATGATAGAGGGGGTGGCTAGAGGCAATGATAGATGGCGTTAAATCATGGGCCCAATTTTCATAAATGTTTAGGACTTGAAGGTAATTTTCCCATAAAGCAATAAATAAATAAATAAATAAATACTGATTTTTGGCCTTTTGGTATTTACGAAGAGCCGTTGATGTGGGCTTACGTCATCTGATAAAAAGGACGGGCCCCACTTAACTTAATTACGAAGAAAAGAAAATAAAATAAATAAATACAGAGTGCGAGGCCCAGAACGATTAAATCAAATGGTGAAAGCAAAATGTCCCGTGCGGTGCTGCCAAATTTAATGGGCCTCTAATATAGATCGGGCGGGGCCCACTTGGGTCCCAATGTAGACAAAGGACAATATCTTAAAATTCTTTATTTTATTTTTAAATAATATATTATATTTTTAATTGTTGATAATTCGGTATAAATTCGAAAATGTTCTTTAAAATTATTTAATTTAGTTTTAGTAAAATATTTTTTTTATTAATTAGAGTCATGTATTGTGTGTGAGTATATACAACTCAATACAGGTCTTATTTTTAGAAGAAAGGTGGAAGAAAGAGATGTGTGAGATGTTTAGGGCTGTCAAAAAAACTCGTTGTTCGCAAATAGCTCGTGTTCGGGCGGTCTGTATGTAATTGCTCCTTTTTTTTATTAAAATAAAATTGCTCCTTGTGAACACTTATTTTATCTAACACCCAAGCTTTACTTCTTACATTTATACCACCAAATCTTTCATATCACATCAAAAATAAACTATTTTTTTATGTATGTAAGTTTTTTTATAGGTGCTATATATGTAAATACATGGAAGTTAAGTGGTATGCACGTAAATCTTCCTAAATTTTTAGATCATGAGGGAAATATCAAAGTATAAGGATGGAGACATACATATTTTGCAAGCTCCCTGGCTTTGGCATCATCAAAGCCTAGGGAAGCAAGTATTTTGTGGCCTGCTGAATCCTTCTCTGCCATATACCGAGAAGCATATGGGTTGTGATAGTCTCGCCACCCTCACCTGCATATTGGTTCCAGAAAGCTGGAACAAGTGTTACTAACTTAAGTGAATAGAGAAAGCCCCAACATCAATAAGAATTGAGCTAATATGTTTGGGAAAGTTTACATACATACCACACAATTCAATGGATATGAATATGCATGAAACACAGGTGTTCAAACTCCCACTAACAGTCTAACAGTATATAAAAACAACCTGCAGATAAAATAACAATATGCAACTCCTCCAAAAAGCTCCAAAAACACCAAAATACAGAATAGCAAAATGCAGTCACCTGTACAATTGAAACCAACATTGAAATGAAATAAATTTACCATGTGTTCAATCATGGAGCATTTAAAGAAATGTTCAACGCAGGTGTTCAAACTCCCACTAACAGATTCTCATTCAGCAAAGCAGCGGTTTCCCATAAGGAGGACCATCCAAGCTGCAAACACACATTTCTAGCCCATAAGGAGGATCATCCACTAACAGATTCTCATTCAGCAAAGCAGCGGTTGCCCATAAGGAGGACCATCCAAGCTGCAAACATCCATTTTCAGCCCATAAGGAGGATCATCCACTAACAAATTCTCATTCAGCAAAGCAGCGGATGCCCAACAGTTTCATGCTACCAAATTACACTTTGCTACCAAAGCATTATGGTAAAAAAAAAAATAATTTTCATTCTCATTTAACACCCAAATCTATAAAAATGAAGTGAGAAATTCTCTAACACCCAAAACAATGCCGCTACAGCAAGGTAGAACTGCAGTAGCCAGCCATCTCAACACGATTGGAGTTGCTGACCCCATTTCCCTTAGAGATCAATCCTACTTTCAACGGACAATGTTAGCATTCGATATATTAATCCACTTCAACTATCCAACTTGAATATTTCTAATAATTCGAATGAAGATGAAGCAGCAGGTAACAGGTTATGCCAAAAAAATATTGCATAACAGGTTATGCCAAAATAATTCGAATGAAGATAAAGCAGCAGGTAGCAGGTAAATGAGGTAAAAAATATTGCTTGAAGAGGGCACTTGCACCAACTATAAACATAATACAAGATGACACTTGAACCAACTATAAACATATGATTAGCTAACAGTAATACCTTAAAGTCCCGAAGCAAAGCAAAAGCAAAACTAATCACATAATTAAACCACAATTAATGCATTGATTACTGACCTTCAAGTACCTCCAACTAATTACATCACTAACAAAAAGCATGTATGAAATTTGTATCTTTTCATTGTCCCGGTTACAACTTACAAAGTGATTATCATAATATAGGCACCTTAATTCTATTTAACAACATCTAATACTCTCAAACAAATAAACTCAACTAGACAACCTCCCCACCATCGCTCTGCCCTTCCTGCATATTGCTATGAATAATATAACTATATTTGTTTGCTTTCATATGCAACATCATAAAATCCCTGCACCGTAAAGTTCATACTAATTTGCTTTAGTAAACCCAATGCACACTACAATTTCTCAATTAAGTTTCTACTAATCATTTCCACATGCAGGCTGCAGCTACAAGTATACAACCAGCTAGAAAGTCCAACCCAACCAAATCCAGGGAGGGAGAAGGGGAAACAGCCCTCTCACAATGTTTTGGGAGTTGCTGCACCTCTCCCAAGCCACAAAATCAAATACAGTTCTGCTATTCATTTCCACATGCATGATAGAACAATAGAACTCTAAGCATTTTACATTGCATGTTAAACTCCATTATAAACGTAAAACATAAAAAAAGAATAGTAGGATTTACAACTAAGCATAAAAAAAGAATAGTGTATATTCCCTGTTCATGCACAGAACTGTATTGATCAACTAGCTTCCAACTAAGCATTCCATCTTATCCAAACTATGCCTTTATAACACAAGATACCTACGTTAATTAACTCATAAAAGCCTTATATAGCCTCATACAGAAATTTCAGAAACTTCAAAACCCAGGTTTCACTAAAAAAATTTAAATAAAGCTAAAAAAAA